AACATTATCATACCAAGAATAGTAATTTTTCCTATGTGGATCCTCTTGTGGACTATGCACTATATCAAGATCACCACAGTGGTAAGAGTTAAAAAATATTAAACATGTTAGAAGAACGAGTAAAACATGTTAGAAGAATAAATAAAACCTTCCCCTTACTCATGCCATGTGTGCTAGTAAAGCAATAAACTCATCTGAAAGAGAAAGATTCCCGTTCCTGGCAAGTGTTTTCTCTTGGAGGCAACTCTTATATACCAAATAACAGCAAAAGCATTCCTGACATTGGGAAGACCTTTGAAAAACCCATCCAATGCATCCTCTCTTGCTATCAGAAAGTATCAGATGAAGCGAGCTGCAGAAATAAAAAATGAAGGAAGCTCTAAATCACTGTTAATTTACTTGTTTGACAGCATTTTTTTCCTCTGATGATAAAATCGAGCAATAAAGACACAATATAATAAAAAGCTTCACAGAGTTCAAGTGTTTTTTTACTGTATAGAAATAACTGAACACTTCAACATAGTATCTGGAACATCCAACACTGTACCTGACCATGAAAGGAAGAAGAGTTACACCCGCTCATAGTCAGATATCCACCTTTTGATATGGAAACTAATATTGTATCAATTCCATATCTCCTTTAACAAAACAAATCCAACAGAAACTGCCACTACAGTTTGTCCTGCATTGAAAACATTCCTCAGAAACTAGCAGCAGTTCAAACTTCTCAATGTAGCATTTAATTCTGCCTTCACTGTAATAAATGCAAGCTTTGAATAAATGGAATTGTGGCATTCATTTGCAAAGTGCATTGCTGACAAGCCTCTGAGACAGAACCAAACCCCAAGGAGTATCGATTGCTGCACTTAAAGCAATGTAGTGCTCTAGATCTTAAACATTTACTCGAGTGCCTGAAGACTTCCCAAAACTTTTACTTTTCAGGCTGAGCTCTTCCGAGTCACATCGAGCAGTTCAGAGGTAACAGACTTTCAGGAATCCTCAGTAAAGAAAATAGCCTGAGGTAGAATAGAAAGCGAGGCAACAAGGAGAAGAAAAACAGGGCTGTGTTTATACATATATTTTTAAAGAGTCCTATGCTGAGTAAATGAAAAATATCTAACTGCTAAAACAGCTGAAAGGGAAAAAAAAATCCTAACACACACACAAGAATGAGCAAAATTCCTTAAAACATTCCAGTGAAAATGAATCGACTTGTCCAAGTTAGCCACATCCAAATGTAACCACAAGACACACATGTGCTGGGCAAAATTTTAAGTTGTAGACTTAATTCTGCCATTGTAAAACAAGTTCACACTGCTGCAGTATTTCGCTTGGGTATGGACGATCCATTATCTGTCCAAGAACTTCTAAAATCCTTTCCTCATTCATTTGTATCCTGTATTATGACGGATGCACCTTCTTTTGTGCTTCAGAGAATGTGATTAAAGACATTCTGCTAGCATCTGTGACTAAACAGTTCCCCACACCTGACTTATTTGGACACAAAAACTCCACTTTACAATATATGTAAATACTGGAGTCTCAAAGGGCCCATCCATCTGACTGAACGCTGAAGCTCATCCTGCTTTGAGCAGGGTAGCAGGCCAGACGACCTCCAAAGTCCAAACTAAATTATGCTGTAAACAACTCCAGTGACTGAAAGCTCAACCTTAACTCTGCCATTCTAAGCAGATGCCACCCAAACACGCTATTATTGCGTCTAATAATATTAATCCTTCTCTTTCCACAAACATTGAGGCATCAGTATCAAGCAGCTCCCTTGGAACTGAACTCTCACCACAGCCTGGTACCCCTCCAGCAAAGCCTTGTACAGAGAACTTCACCATTGCATGCTTTTTGGCAGTGCAGTCTTCCCAAGTGAAACTATCTGCAAATGTAGGTGAGGGCCGTCCAGTGGAGTCAGTGGGCAGAAGTATAAAATCAGGGTGCTAGTCAGCAGTGACAGCAAGCCCCAGGTGCTCTGACAGGTAGCTAACCACTTATGATGAATTAATTAAGGCCTAGAAACCCTGAGAACAGAGAACCCTGGGGTAGAGTCAAGGTTGAGCACTGCAGCTGACAGCTTCTTTTAAGATGCGCGTGGGGAACTTTACCTTCTTCTGCCACCATTCATACCTCAAAATGAAACACACCCTCTATCCCGCTAAGAGATGTATAGCTAAAACCAGCGAGAATCGGAGAATAAAAACGTATTTTACACTGAGTACCCATTAAAGCAACACGTTGCTTAAAAAAAAAAACAACAAAAAACCCACCCAAACCAAATCACTATTTACATCATCTGGACACCGAATTCCAAGGTATCTTCTTAATCTAGAATTCTAATATGAGTAATCCAAAGTAGTATTACTATTGTCACGTAAAAGCTTTTGATCCAGTGCAATCCAGTTGCAAAAGAAATTAAAATAAAGAAATCCCACTGAAAGGTAACATTCGTGTGGGACATATGGCTGGTGCGCCTTTCACACACCAGTAAAAAAAAAACCTCCTCCTATGAACTGAACTAAAAAATTAATCTCCAAGAAGTACAAATTAGGCCGCCTATTAAAAAAAAAAAAAAATTAAAAAAAAATCAAAATAATAACTAACACACGCCGAACCCTATCTGCACAATGAAGGCAATTGTTCCTCGGCCCAGAAAAAGCCGTGACTTCCCCCGGTGCGGCGGTCAGGAGGTCGGGGCCGCGGGCGGCCTCAGCCGCAACCCGGAGGCGGGGGCAGCGCAGGGCCGGGCCCGGCGGAGCCGCGCAGAGCCGAGCCCCCGCCGCCGCGCTCGGCAGCGCCCGGCCGAGCTAAGATGGAGCCCAGGTTTGATGTCAGCCCCAGGGGCGGGCGGAGGGCAGCGCGCCGGGGCGGGGGCGAGGGCAAGGTCAGCCGCCAGCCCGGCGCGGCCCCGCCGCCTCCGCCCGCCCCGGGAGCCCCGCGGGGCTCCTGCCGAGCCGGGCCCCCCCACGGCCGCCCCCCGAAACGCCCCTGCGCGCCCGGGCTTGGCCCCTGCCCCCGCCCGCCCGCCGGGGCGCTGCAGAGGCGGGCGCCGCGATCCCGCCGCCCCCCCGAGCCGAGCCCGGCCACGCTCTGCGGGAGGAACCGGAGCTGCCGGCTCGGCTCCCCCGGCGGGCGGACCGCCAAAGGGCTATGCGGGGGCAAACGGCAAGAAGAAGGGAAGGGGATGGGGAAAAACCCCAAAACCAACCTCAAACATCAGCCCCCCCCCGAACCGAAGCCCACCACAACTCGAGCCCTTGCCTCGAGTCGACAGGAAAAGAAAAGGGGAGACAAATCTTTGCGGAGCTGCAAGTGCTCCCCCCTCGCCCCCAGTGCCCACATCCCCCATCCCGGGCCGTGTGCCGGTGCGGGAAGGGCGCGGGGAGCGCTGCCCCAGCCCCTCCGCCCGCAGAGCGGAGCGGGGGCCGGGCCGCGCTCCGCCCGCAGCGGCGCCCCGCGGGCAGGGGCAGGAGCCGCCCCGGTGAACTCCCGGTGACCGAGCCCGGCTCCGGCGGCTGAGCTCTCGCCCTGCCCCGAGCTCGGCGCGGAGAGGCTGCAGGCACGCTCCGAGCAGATGTGTCGGGGACAGACAAATGACCCCTCCATCCACCCCACGCTCTCCTTAAACCAGCCCTGGGGCCATGCAGGGGCAGGGTATTTTTAGGTCCCTTCCCCTCCTCTCCGCCTCCCTCTCAATAGCTGCCGAGCGCTGAATACAAGGAGAGGGGGGAGAGGGAGCGGGAGAAAAGTTAACTGTTTTGCAAAGAGGGAAGAAAACAGGCAGGGAGGGGGGAGGGAGCGATCAGGAGCAGGGCAGGGTGAGCCGTGTCAGGGGATGTGTGTGTGTGTGTGTGTGCGTGAGTGTGCGAGCGCAGTGGGTGCCCGCGGGCGGAGGATCGGATGCACTTTAGCCCTGTGCTCTGCTGCTCTCGTCTAGGGCAGCGCCGCCGAAGCCTGAGTCTCGCCTGGCTCGCCTGACCCTTCATTTCACTGCGGCCAGGAGGAGCCCGGAGCCCGCCGCCGCCTCCTCTCCCTGCTCTGCAGGGACCTCGCCTGCCACGGTCTGCCTCCCCGCCGCCCCCTCCCACGCCGCCGGCGGCGGCCCCGGCCCCCTCCGGGGTGGCCCTGGGGTTGGTGTGGGGTGCCCCGCCGGCCCCCTCCGCTGCCGCTGCCCGCCTACCCCCGGCTCCCGGGCCGCCCAGCCCCGCCGCAACCTTTAGCCGGGGACAGACCTCTCGGCTGGTTCCGCACAAGACGCCAGCAGCCGCTTCCCCTCTCGCCGCCCTCCCCTCCCGTGCTTAGCCCCCCTCCCCACCCCAATAAAACAGACCCCCCTCCCTCTGGCCCCAAAGAGAAACCCACACCGCCCCCCCCTTCCACCCCCCCCTTAGCACAAATGCACAATCACGGGCGAGGGGAGGGAGAGGGAGGAAAGGGCGAGAGACGCGAAGAAAGAAGGGGGGAAAGGAGAGAGAGGAAAAATTAAAAGGGCACAAGGCTGTTCATCACCAACATGGCTGCCTTAGCTCAGACCTAAAAGAGGAATAACCCAGGCTGTGTCTTTGTCAGTTTCACCTCTGTAACCCTAAACTAATGCACGAAACGACGGAGGCGGCTGCAGAGGGGAAGGAGACGGGGAGAGGAGGAAGGAGAAAATGGCAAAAAGAGGGGGCACTTACGTGAAGAGAGGCGCTTGGGCTGCTCCTGCTTCCTCCTGGGCATTTTCCCCCTTTTTTCACATTCTCCTCCTTGGTTTAACGGGAGATCAAATAAGACCGGGAGGGGGGGGCACGGACAGGCACAAAGCCGGGGCCCCCGGGGGAGCTGCTAACCGGGGCGGGTTTTCCCCTCTTCGCCGGGGGAAAGGGGGCTTGAAGCCGGTTTTCTCGGAGCCACCGCGAAGGGCTCCCTCTCCCCCTCTCTCTTTCTTTTCCTCTCCCCCCC